TTTTCTTCTTTTTTGGAATATCTTTCTCAGCACACTTTGTGAGTTTTGTATGCTTCTAAATTATTGAGTCTTACCAAACACACCATAGAGATAAAGACCATGCCGTAGTATTTGTCTCAGTAAAGGAATTTACTTGGCCAGGCACAGATTATAAATGTAAAAGATAACAGTAATGTCAAGAAAAGCATGTGTGATGATTTACCAGTATCCTGGTGAAGGTGGTTCAGGAATTGGGATGTTTAGATATAGGTCTGAATTTTGACTTCCCCAGTCTCAAGCTTGCAACTTTGGATATTTACCACCCCTGAGCTTTAATTTCTCCAACTATAAATTGAAGTGTTTTCATTTAATACCAACAAAGGTAGAACTGGAAAGATGTAGAGATCAACTGATCCAGATTCCTTATGTTAATGATGAGGGAACTTTGTCTCAAAGCGTATAAACAACTTACGTAATGACTCTTACTAATAGCGTTAGAATTAAAAAGTGATCTACTTTGTATTCACTGTGTCTAATCGGCTTCCATTCCTGTTCTCCAAAATGATTCTTCCAGGCATCTCCACTCAGCAATCCCTAACTCGCTGCCTCCCTCTCGCCCTTCTTATGTCATGTTTACAGACAAAATGTCCCATCTTGGAACTCTGGGCCCAGACTGTCTTTCCAGCTTCCCCTGATTGCCTTCCACCCAACAAATCCTGTATTCTCCAGTCATGACAAACTTTCTGTCATTCTCCCAAATAGAACCTACCTTTTACCATCCCCTGATGTATTGATCAGTCTTTCCTAGTTAGGATCCCTTCCTCTAAAACTGTCAGACTTCTATTCATCCCTTGATATCTAGTTACCTCCTTCGAGATATTTTATTGATTCACTCAGGGAGAGCTTGTCGGTTCCTCTTCTGCAGTCCCTCAAAAATCTGTTCATAATAGCATGTCATAATCTGCTTCCCTCTTGGCATATCTGTTCTGCTCACTAGACCGTGATGTTTCTTAAGGTCAAGATCAGATCATATTTATTTATCACAGTGTCAGCAGATTGTGGGTACACATTAACTGTGTTAGGAATAAGTGAATCTGGATCCCTTGGTCCCTAATCCAGCTGGGCTCTGTATGTTCGATATTACCTGGTTGTATTCAGAAGCATGGATAGAGATTGTATAATATGGGTCATTATAATAATCAGACTAATAGACCCGATTAATATAGTTTCTCTTGAGATCTAAATCAAGACCTCTGTGATCAGGGATTGCTGTATAGGTAGCCAGAAAGATAGATGACACCTCAAGAATTGGATGAACAAGATAAATGTAAAATATGGTGTGTAAGTGTATGTGTTTTTTGTTTTTATATTTTTATGCAATCCCAGTTTTTTAAAATATTTTATTTACTTATTTGAGAGAAAGAGTGAGAGAGAGGGAACAGGAGCAGAGTGAGGGGCAGAGAGTGAAGCAGATTCCCCACTGAGCAGGGAGCCTGATGAGGGGCTCATGACCTGGGCAGAAGGCAGACACGTAACTGACTGAACCATTGTATGTTTGTATAATACATATAACTTAAATATGTAACACACCAGATTAATTCTTCTATCACTAATCCCTCTTCATAGGAATTGGGAAGAGAGACAGACATCTAAGACTAGTTAAACCCTCTTCTGTGTCCTTCTCTTGAATTCCATGCTTTACCATGCTTACGAGATGGGAATATCTATGGAAACAGAAGTTGCTGTTGTTTAACTTCAGATTCCATTGTACAAGGTATTCTTGATTAATTTGGGCTTCTGTTGTTGCAATTGTGATGACATCTGCTCTTCTCCCCTTGTGTTTCTTTTGGCTCCTTCCCTCAGTGTGTTTATGCTGCTTGAAAGACCAGCCTACCAGTCAAGGCTAGAAATCCTACAGCCTCTATTACTCATTCTACTCTGTGCATTCTCATGTGTGCTTGGTTCATTTTCCCCGCCCAGTGCTGACCACTGGGATTTGCTAAGTTGCACAGTCTTCTGGGCAACTGCTTCTCATGGTAGCATACTTCACTGGATCCCTACCCCCTACTCCATCCAAAAGAATAGATCTGGGTGCTACGAGGCCTTCTAAATTACATGATGAATCACAGTATTGACATATTCATAGTCCTCTAAATGGCTACACCTGGTGAATGGTCACCATGTCAACGACCTCCTCGTCAAGTCTTCATTGGTCTTGCTGACCATCTCAGCTCTGTTTTTGAGTTACATACGTACTTTTACAACCCTTCCATTTTACTAAATCTTCCTTTGCATTGCTATCTACACCATAGTGAGAAGATATTGATCTTGCATGAAAAGAACCATCTTTAACATAACAAAGATGTAACTTACCTTCTATCTACACTGACCAAGCAGAATAACTGTAAGCACTTGTAATTTAATTAGCTTTGCTGTGGACAGTGTATGTGATTCACATTTTCCCAGTATTCACCTGCCTCCAGATCCATAAGATGGATGGATGGATGGATGGATGATAGATAGATAGATAGATAGATAGATGATAGATAGATAGATAGATAGCTATTGCCACTTTAGTTTCCTTACTCCTGTTCTGAATTAAAAAAAAAAAAATCCTACAAACTTTAAATAAGGTTTGCACCTGTAAATGTTGTTATAAATCTCCACCAGTAAATAGACATGAGTGTGATGTGCTGTATTCTTAATAATTCGATGCACAAGTTGAGTTTTAATCCATTGAAGTGAACCTTGGATCGCAAAGAAATACAGACATTCATTGTAAATCTTGGGAATGAAACCATAACAGGGCTGTCAGGGTTTGAAATTCTGTGAATGAAATTGAGAGGTTGCCAGTTTACATAATTATTGTTACAAAAATATATAGAATATGGCCATGTCGTCAAGGGGTTTTTTTCAGTGTGGTTAAAAAAAAAAACTGCTTCTGTTCACAATTTTGTCACATGCACACATTTCTATGGCAAAGGGCCAAATGCATTTAATGTAATTCAAGGGTAACAAGGACAGTTGATAGCCTCTAATGAGCAACTGCTACCAGCAACAGAGAGATACTAAGAATCCAGTTTAAACTCTATTCAGAACAGGAGGGCCATTTCCATTCACTGTGGTTCTTCATCTGAGCTTATAAATGACATATGGAATAAGAAGGGGAAACAATTCTTGCATTTTATTATTTGAAGATAACGAACCCCAAATCGTGAAGATAAACATAAATCTTGGTTTAAAAAAATGTGTGCAGAAATAACCTACGGTGTCTAGCAATGACAACTGAGTCTTTCGTCTTAAAGTTACTGAAATGATCGGAGAAAAACTGGATTAAAAACGTATTGTACTATATTATTATCTCAAAGACTGATTATTATGCGAAAGCGTGTTCCAATTTCAATTTTAAAAACTACTGATTTGTTCTCAACAGCTGTAATTTGAGATCCCACGGATGACATATGAGGATACACAGGAAACTTGGGGAAGCTATTGCTGGTTTGGTGACTTGATTCACCAAGGCTACTCGGCCGAGATTTCCACTGTCTGAAGCTATAATAACATGGTGGCAGCGATGTAATTCATCACAGCTGGGATCTCATAATATATAGAACACAATAAGGACCTGAAAATGTACTAGAGAGATCATAGGGTATATCTTTTAGATATTCTTTACCTTGGTTAGATTTGTATGCAGCAACATAGGGAAGAGTTAGAAGAGTATGTTGACATTGAGTAGGTGACGTTGGTTATGTACTAATAACATCTTGCACTGACTTCCGAGAATCTGTTGAGATCTTGCTAGCATACTGCATATTAAGGTGTGCAAGGTCTACATTGCATCTGACTGTATGTCACAATTCACCTCCATTAAGCAAATGTTCGTTGAGTTTGTAGCATAAGCCAGACATTGTGGTAGTTGGGGATACAAAGATGGTAGCTGTAATCTTTCATAATAATTGATGTTTTTTTAAAAAATTCTTTCCTTCTACGATTATTCACTTACGGCTTACTAGGATATTGTCTTGCTTTTTTGGATGTAAATGTACATGATGTTAATTAATTTTCATTGAAAACAGTAGTCAAGCATAAGAAGTTCTAATGTCTCTTAATGCTCAAATAGCATATAAGGGAAAGCTGTTTATTACAAATCTATCATGTCAAAAATTTTGGTTTATTTTTTCTCTTTATGCTTCATAACTTAAAATTATCTTGTGATGTCTCTTTCATCCAAATTGATCATTTTTAATGAACATTTTAAGGGGGTGTAATCATGTTTTTCTTTGAGAATCTCTTAAGAGCTCTACAACTTCTCACCAAAAAAATGCACACACTCACTTATACAAACACAATATACTCCATATATTTTCTGTGGATTGATCAAATTGAGAAATCTATATGAAATCTACATCTTCAATCTACATGAAATGCTATGAGTAAGAGCGTATACATTTTTGAAGACACAACCTATGAAATTACAGCTCCATTTGGAAATTGGGAGATGATCTTTCCAGGAATTACACTTTTGGATTACAATTTAGTTTCCCGTTTGAATTACTGATACACTGATATTTTGCCACAAATAGGTGGTTGCAGTGTGCCCCAGTGATGGAAAATAAATTATTAGGCCAGGCTTCTGATAAATTTAACATGAATTCAAGCCAGAATATTAGGGCTTTAGTAAGCCGGACTCTATGTGAAAGTGATCCCAGACAAATGTGCCTGCAGATATGCAGCAGAGCTTTGGGAAAGCTGCAGCGGCTGTTGTAAGGGACAAACCGCAATCCTAGGACATCTTTTTTAAATGTAATTGAGTCCCATCATCCTTCTGTGCCTCTGGGAGCCAGAGAAGCATAGAAGAGTCGATGCCGTTAGTTTATCTTTGGACCATTTCCAGAGCTGAACAGGTGATACCATAAACATATCCCACTCTTGCCGTTTGGAGTGAGCAAGTGGCTCTACAAGGTGGCTCCTTCTGGATGTAAATTGATTTTAATGATTTCTTTCTTTCTCCCGGGCAGGATTTATGTGGGCATCATTCATGTGACACCCTGGGAATGGCAGACGTCGGGACCATATGTTCTCCGGAGCGCAGCTGTGCCGTGATTGAAGATGATGGCCTCCATGCAGCATTCACTGTGGCTCACGAAATTGGTATGCAGCGCCTTTTCCCTTCCCTCGCCAAATCAAACACTCCTAACAGCTGCAACAGGAACCAAAATACTTGGCAATTAATTCCAGATTTCTCCAGGTTCAGATGGACTGTTGGGGATTACATTTGTTTACATTTGCACTTTTAGGGTTAACTAGTTAGGGAGGAGGAAGGCAAAGCCAGGCACACAGTAGATGTTTCCTTTTCGACAGTGTCATTTGAGAGTTTAAAAGAAATTTGCTACTGATCCTGTCTTCTTAAGCATCCGGCCATGACTCTTAGATGGAATTTGTCACAGTTGATTATGGAATGCAGGGATGTCCCTCTTAAAAGTTACTCGAGGCTCTACTGACTCATCCAGGGCTAATCAGTTTGCACAGAAATTTGTCAGGTTTATTCCATTGTGAGTGATCAGAGCTCCTGTCAAAGGTAAACAATAGCTCATGGTAAACAGTCCTGTCTCCTTTTTTAATAGCAAAGACAGTGAAACCAAGACCCTCAGGCAACAGGGTTTGTCTTCCAATGTCCCCTGATTTGTGTGTCCTAAGAAACACATCTGAATCTTACAATTAGAAATTTAGGACTGAGTTCGTTGTTGAAAAATATCCCACCAGTTAGGAAATGTGTTTCCCAGGCGATGACCCAGGCTCGGTGTATGAGTACTTTAGTACTTAGGATTAGACATTAGTATCAGACACATCTGGGCTCAGTTCTTGCTAGCACACTTTCTACTGGTCTTATTATTTAAACTCTCAAAGCTTGTTTTCATATCTGAAATACAGAAATAATGGTGCCGATTTCATGGAGTTATTTGAGGGACCAAATTGGGTAGGTTATAGATACCGGTTGTTATTTAGACCCACATACACTTCTGTTTTTGCTTTTTAGTTAACTAGCTCATTTCATTTTAAATGTATGTGTCACCTTTTATCATCATCCTTTCGGGAGCAAAGTACGGTCTGATACCTTTTTTTGCTGTATTTCTATTAAACGGATTTAGTTTTTAACCTAAAACCATAATTTTTAAACAAAAATTAAAGCTTCCTTTTCACATTCCTGGTAGTAGTAGGCAGAGAACATTTCACAAGGGTAGATTTCTAGCTGCTATGTTTTCTTTGGAAAATTAAAATAACTTCAAAGCAAAGATGTCATTGTGTAAGGCAATTTACATGTTATTAATTAGACTTCTTTAGCCTCAAGATGGAGCCCCATCTCTGCCTCGATGGTCTCTGTTTGGTCTCATGCAAGAGATTCAGACATCCAGTCTCAGTCTCTCATCTATAAAGTGGGCTAATAATGAGGTGTGACTCTCTGGTGTGCTTCTCTAGAAGACCTGGCATATCCTAAAAGCTTTTTTAAAACAATAAGCCACCTGAGCTTCTGGCCTGGGAATATGTTTTCACTTATCTCTCATTCATACCTATTAAACTGATAATAGAACAGCCAGATATAGATCCTTAGTATTTCTTACCCATCTATGTCGGTGCACGAGTCAGTGGGAGAAACACAAGAGCTGCCCAAGGCAACATTCAGAATGTGCAGTGGAAGCCAAGAAGAATTAGCCCAAATCCTTGAGAGGATTGTAATTGAGCAGAGATGATTTCAAAAGTACACCAGTAATTAATCACCATTATTCAGAGTGATGGACGTTCCAAAAGAAAGGTCCTGAATCCCTGGGTAGGCAGAGGCTGGTTCGTTTCGGACTGGGTAAGCAACACAGTTGATTTGTGGCATCATCCATCCATGAGATGACGAGCCCTAAATCCTGATCTCTCAGGAAGGGATTACAGAGGTCTTGAGGGAAGGGCTATCTTTTCCTTCAATCCTGCAGTGATCCGCTCTCACACATTGTTAGCATTGGGGAGGTTTCTCTGTAAGAATACCACTGTGGCAGTAAATGCAACTTCTCCCGGGCTGCACTGACTCTCAAGACAGCTGGGCTGGAATGAAGAACCTTCTAGCATCACCTTTCCCGGCCCTCCTGAATTCCTAAACCAGGGGTTGACACCGGCCGACCCAGCAGTCTGAGAGGTAGGAAGACGGTTGCTGATGAGAACAAATGTTTTATTAAAACGGTGTATGTACAGTAAGACCTTTTCCTAACAGTGCAGGATTGGACACAGTTTTACAAGGGAACGATGCAGGAGAAATGCAGGCTTCTATGTGGAAAATCAAACTTGAATCTTTGATCCATGACTCTGCCCTGGGTCCCCTTTAATTTCTTGGTTGGGCCAGCTCTATTTAATTCTTTAGAATTCTTTATGAGCCGTTCTTCATTCAAACACTGCCTACTTAATTTGTCTTTCTGCATTACGTATAGCCGAATCAGAGAAATTTAAGGTCTGGGGGTGCGGGATATGGACTTAATTTCCCCTTCATAAGGGGATCTGGCTTTCATTTGCTTTATTTTCTAGTTGCTTTATTATTCTTTAATTTCACTTTTTGCCTAAATATTGTGAGCATGTGTTATAAAGTACGAGCCTTAAAGACATTAGAGACGATAACCTCGCAAAATATTTCCTAATCATCTGTCTATGATTACCGTCCTGCCTCTGCAGCGACTGTGATCTTTGGTAATGCTTCTGGCTGATCTGTTTCCAGCGCTTTATTTTTAGATTGTTGCATGAAACCATGGGTCTGAGCTAACCATGCTCTGGATTCTAATTCCACTCCATTCTTATGTAATTTCCTCTCTTCCCTTTTATTAGACACTTACCACTTCCCAGATTGGGAGGTTATATATACAGGCCACGGACGGTGACAAAGTGACCTCAGTCTTGCCCGAGTGCGTTGACTCTGCTTGAGCCCATTGCCAAATGTGCAATCTGCTTCGTGTACACAGAGCAAATATATGACTGTGCTCAAAATGTAAACAGTGGAGAAAATTTCCAGGCTGTTCCCGTAATTTTTCTACTTTATTTCTCCTATATGGAGTAAGAGGATATATTTGATTAAGAATAAGGCTTTTATCAAAGGACTTAAATTCATGCAATGCCCCACTTTGCTGCTTTCGGCACATAGTGGTTTAAAATACAAAGTCATTGTATCTGAATCAAAACTTCCCTTTGGTCTTTTACCCCCTCTATCTGAAAAATGTCCTGACTTGCAAATGAACATGTAAGATAAATAGCAGCAAGTCTGAAGTACCTATCTTATACCTTTTCTATCCATCCTGTAAAAATCAGGATGGTTTCAAGGAACAATTCTGAAAAGTGACTCTTTTCCTAGACCACATATTAATTGTTTTCCTGCTAATTGTTTCTAAAAAAAAAAAAAAAAAAAAGATGGGGCGCCTGGGTGGCTCAGTCGTAAGCGTCTGCCTTCAGCTCAGTCATGATCCCAGGGTCCTGGGATCGAGCCCCGCATCGGGCTCCCTGCTCGGCGGGAAGCCTGCTTCTCCCTCTGCCGGCTGCTCCCCCTGCCTGTGCTCTTGCTCTCTCTCGTGCTCTCTCTGTCAAATAAATAAGATCTTAAAAAAATAACAAACAAACAAACAAACAAATAAATGAATAAATAAAAAGAGCTAGACTCTGAAGGTATATCATCAACTGATGCCGATACAGGCTTCTGGAAAAAAAGATTTTGATAAGTATAGACTACATAGGCAGTAATAATTTGTCTTCCCCCTTGCTCTTATGTATGTGTAAACATTAACTAAACCATTAGGACATTTTAAAAAGTGGCTTTAAACCATCAAGAACACAGTCCCCATCCCTGTGCCTTGAGTGGAGTTAAGAAATGTGGTTATGGTCATTTTACAATCCAAGTGTGAACTGTAGAAAGTTTTCAGATGAATGTAAGTTTACATTTTGAGTTTATATTTTTAACTTGTCAAACTTTTATTATTGGCTTGTAACAATAAAGATTTCACCTGCTGCCCACATGGTTCTTCAAAATAATAATTTTATTGATGTTGGGCCAGCTTCTAATATGCTAGGGGGAACAATCTGATTTTATTTAGACTAATGAAATCCATAATTTGCAAACTTGCTGAAGCTTGGCTTTATAGTAGTTAATTATAAAATGTGCTAAGTGATTCTCTCCACCATGAAAGACTCCAAAGTGCTTCCTAAGCTAAAGTCAGGCAACTTGGAAAGTCGAGCTTGGGTGGCTCAGTCGAAGCATCTGACTTTGGCTCTGGTCATGATCTCGGGGTCCTGGGATTGGATCAAGACCTGCATCGGGCTCCCCGCTCAGTGGGGAGTCTGCTTCTCCCTCTCCCTCTGCCCCTTCCCCCCTTAACTGCCCCCCCTGCTCTCTCTCTCTCACTCGTGTTTTCTCTCTAAAATAAATACATAAAATCTTCAAAAAGAAAAAAAAGTCAAGACCAAATATTCAGCGGGAGGCTAAGGAAGTGGCTGAGAGGCAACCCCATGGCTGCCCATATTTTGCTGTGGTTAGGAGTTCTCTGGTTGTGCTGATCCGCGTGTGACTGTACTCCCATGGATGATTAGATTAAACAAGGCTGGGTTTTGAAAAGATGCAGAGGCCCTAGAAACACTGTAGACCGAAGCCAATGCCCAGAATCAGATGTCAGGACTGGCTGTGAGATGTGAAGTGAAAGGAAACTAGGATTAAACTTGGTATTTACCCCCAAACCTAAAGCTTTAATCAACATGAACTGAGCCTTTTTTTTTTTTTTTCTGTCTAGCCTGGAGCAATGTTACACTGTGTCTTTCTTGGCCCCCAGATGAAAGGTGGGAATGGGTCTATACTAATATGTCCGGCAGCACTGAGAAATTTAGTGTTGAGTGTCAGTTCTGTATTTTTTAAATCCTATCCCAATTTCCATTCCTCTTGCGGAGGCCAAGAGATTGTCTGCCACACGTGTGGAAATCCAAGTTAAAGGTTGCATAAAAAGTAAATATATTACAAACGTAATGCATGATATTTTTTCCTCTAATGAGCAGTCAATTAACCCTTCTCTCCCAAATCGAGAGTGTCTAGTAATATCAAAATTTGTCAAGGCTACTTGAGATTAGAGTACCTGTAAGTAAAAGTA